CTACCCGACACAGTAAAATGAAGCGGCGATTTAAATAATCACTGCTTCATTTACATTTACATTTACATGGCTGCCGCGCTGAGCCGACAAACAGCTGATCAGCTGTTTGTCGGCTCAGCGCGGCAGCCATGTAAATGTAAATGTAAATGAAGCAGTGATTATTTAAATCGCCGCTTCATTTTACTGTGTCGGGTAGCCTAATCTACATGCCTCTGTCGCCAGAGGCATGTAGTCTAGACGTACCCTTAATGTACTCGCACAGCAGGCGGCTGCTCTGGCGAACGGGACTGGCTGAGACAGTGTGCTGAGGGAGCCACTGGGGTAAGGGGCCAGCGCCTGCGTTGGGGGAAGCTTGCTCCGTGGGGGATAGCGCCTCTTCTGGTGGCTTTGGCCAGGAACGGGACCAGTGCACATGACCTCAATATTGGTGCACAAGCTAAAACTCACTCCTCTCATGGTTGGAAAATCTTAGCTGAAACACTGAATTGGAGACCCTTTTTTCCTCATGCTTTGAATAATAGAACAATTATAGTGCCTCATATAATGTGGCACGGTGAATTGTCCATTTATAGTAGTCTCTGTTTATAGCTCTAACCGAAAAGGGAAGGTTAAAATCCAAACATTTCTAGTGGCTGCATCACCACATTTGTATATAATTTCATGTCATTTAACTAAAGTTTGTTACCTAAATTATTTTTCCTAGGAAAAGAACTAGAAAATAAAGTTGTAATAGATAAAATTCCCTTGCTAAAGGACTTTTTAAAAGCAGGAATACTCAAAATTAAAACGTTTAAAGGTGTTATCAGTATTTAATTACATTTCAAAATTTGATTCTATATTGTTTGCAGTATCTTCTCCAGTGTTAGAAAATAACAATCCTGTGTAGGCAATACTGTTAAATCATTTTTTATTTATGATAGGCCCAACATGAACTAACATGTCTTACAAATAATTTTATGACAGTGACCAGAACATAAATTCTTTTTCTTCACTGAATCATTGCCAAGTGTTCTGTGTTCTCCATATTCTAATCATTTTAAGATTTCTTAACCTCTTGGGCCTAAACTATCAAAATCACATATTTCTGAAATAGTGTTAAATGTCCACAACAAATCCACATAGGAAAAGAAACTTAAAGCAAGGGACTGTTTGTCCTATAACTGCACGCTGTATTGTCAATTTTAACTGTCAAAAGAGTTGTAACTCTTGAGCTGAGTCCATTTTCTTTTCTCTTTTGTGAATGTGTTTTAGACCAAATCATTTTATTTATTCTTTTTTTTTTAAATTGTACATTAACACATTCATTGGGCTTGTCTTGGTGTGTAGTGAGCTCTTCAAGGAAAGGATTCTCTTTTACTCCACGTTCACTTGGTACCAATCAGAATAGGACATCAATCTTGCCTGGGGTCTATAGGTGCTACTGTAATACAAACAATGAAAATAATAGCGTAGCGTGAAAGAAAACATTATGGCTGGCTGTTTTCACCTCTTGCATTCAGTATATTCAGGGAGAGGTACTTCTGCTTCAAGTTTTGCAGTATAATATTCCTTTCATATTATACATGGTTTAAAATGACATTTGATCTTTGATGTATTTTACTTCTAGAAAACTGTTTATTTGGGTTATGTGTGTGTCAAAGGCTCTGCATGGATTCATTCATGCGGATCTAATTGCAGGACTGGGACCATATTCAGAAATACACAAAAGCAAAGCATTACTTTAAAGTACAGGTTGGACCTCTATAAACCAGAACTCTCTGGCCATCAACATCCAGACCATGGATGTTCCAGGATCAGAGAGTCCCACGCACTGCGAAGGGATGGGGGGGGGAGACGGTGCAGGAACCCAAGCTATATGAGGGGGAGGGGTGATGCGCAGCTGGGCTGCAGGGGATGGGGCTAAGAACCAGCATGTGGCTCATCTGGGCTGTGGGAGCTGGCGAGCAGCTCAGCTGGGCTACAGGGGGAAGGGAGCATCTCAGCTGGGCTGAGGGGGACGTCAGCATCAGGGGGGCCAGAAATGACCTCCCCTGGTCCTGAAAAATCCTTCATCCGGTACCAGTCGGGTCCCAAGGGTGCTGGACCAGGGAGGTCCAACCTGGAGTTTAATGTGAATATGTCCTAACCTTGAGCACAGAAATAACTACAGTGACACAAATAAGATATAATAAAGTTAACTAAAAGTTTGCTTCAATATTTTTGTCTTACAGAATGTAAATATTGGGGCTCAGATCTGCAGCTCCCACATATGTCTTTTGAAGAAGTCTTACACAGTGATGAAAGTGCCTACAAGTGGCTTTCTACCCTTAAAAAAGTAGGAATTGTGCTGTTAACAGGAGCTGCCGCTAGACAGGGAGAATTGGTTAAACTTGGCAAAAGGATTGGTTTCCTGCGTCTCACATTTTATGGGTGAGCTAGTTTTTCACATGTCCTAGTTCTGCCAGCAATGTCATCACCTTTGATATGTTACACTTCAAAATGTAGGATCATTCTTGGGGATTAGTTTATTTGTAGCTGGGTCAGAATTTTCCTTGGCTTCACATTAGAAAATGTGATCACCCATAGCACTCTGTGTATGTGGATTGCTTTGCAATGCCAGATAGGAAATATGACAAATAGCATGGTACCCAGGAACAAATTGTAATGGTGGTGGTGGTTTAAAAAAAAAAAAAAAAAAAGGATGAGCACTAGAATTGAACACAAATATAAGAGGATAATCAATCAACAAAATAGCAAGCCCTGTGTAAAGCTGTGCCTGATCAAGTACCCTGCATCCAAACACCTTAACTTTGGATCAGCATTTGCATTTAAACTTCACTTGAAAGTAGGAATAAGGGATCTTCCGGAAAAGGGTTTATTTTCCGCAAGATCCCGTCTAGACTGGCGCTTTTCTCCGGCAAAACCCCGAGCCGGAAAAAAGCGGCAGCCATGTTCATGCAAATGCCGCGGGGGATATTTAAATCCCCTGCGGCATTTGCAATTCCGACTGGTCTCATTAGCATCCCTTTTACGGAAAAGGGTGCCAGTGTAGACACAGCCCATGTGTCAAGTCTATTTCCAGTCATGTGAGTTTCAAGTGAGATGATTGTCTTTCATAGCAGTTTCTAGTACCCACCTCTTCACCTTTAAATAAAAGCTCTGCTCAAACTGTCAAAGTCAGCTCAAAATGTGCTGAAATGAGGATTGCAATGTAAATATTAAATAGGCTTCCTCCAAGCTGTCTAGGCCACAGTGGTTCTAAAGCCTTTCCATACCAGGATCTTCCTCAGTTCTCCCCTCCCACCCAGCCAAGCTTTTCCTCTCATTTAGCAATATGGTAAGAGTAGCATGACATCTGTTTGCAACCATCCAATTGAGAACTCATGAACTGGAGGCATCAGATAAATGTTCATGTAAACATGGACCCATTGGTTCACACACCTGGTCAGTCCCCAAACTCCTTTTCTATTGCTGTCCATCCATCGTAGGGATGTTAGATAGCGATTAACTGAATAACTGTGTGACTGCATCAAATGTTAGCAGTTACACAATTATTCAATAGTCCCTGAGGGTAGGGCCAGCAGCCAGGGCACTCCCAGCCCCACTCTCAGCCTCCTGCTCCCCTGTGCTCCTGCCTGCCACCCCATGCTGCTACCTCTGGGCCCCACTCTCAGACAGCCTCCTGCTCCCCTGTGCTCCTGCCTGCCACCCCATGCTGCTACCTCTGATACAGCAGCAGCAATGTAGGGCAGCACCAGTCCCTGTCCACAGGGGGCCCAAGCTCTCTGAGGACAGGAGCTGTGCCATCATGCCACAAAGTAGCCTCTGTCTATGGTAGCCTCCACTGCCCCCCCCCCTCTGATAGAGGCAGCAGCATGGGGAGCGGGGCAAGCAGCTCGGCAGAACCAACGGGGAGAGCAGGCTAAAAAGCTCTCCTAATGGAGAGGCAGCAGCGCGGGGAAGCAAGCAGCTGATGTGAAGCAATACACACAGGGAGCTGGCTTGAAAGCTGGCTTCCACCTCCCCCCCTCACCCTCCATGCTGCTGCCTCTCTATCAGAGGCAGCAGGAGACGAGGTGGAGGGGAGAGTGCCTGTAGTTGACGAGATTAACCAATAAACCTGGGCTTATCAGTTAAGCCTATAGTCAACTATATATTGACATCCTTACTGCATAATCCAATTTCACCATGCACATAGGGTGCAGATCACCTTGTATGGCCATTTCAGAGCCACTCTCAATAAAGCAGACCCTGTGCATTGATGGCTTTCCATGACTTTTTCCTACAGTCAGGGGTGAATTTCTGCCTGAAAATATATAGCACCTACAGTCTTTCCCTTGCAGATTTTCTTCTTCATTTCAAAGTGTCCCAAGCAGCAAGGAACATAAGTATGTGCTAGCCTTTAAAAGTCCTATTGACTTCATGAATTAGGAGCCTAAATCTCCAACTCCCTAAGGGGAGAACAAACAATCAGAGACTCATAGGACTGGAGCGAACCTTGAGAGGTCTTTTAATCCAGTCCCTAAATTCAAGGTAGGACTAAGTATTATCTAGAGCAGGGGTAAGTAGTAAGTGCCCTTCGGGTAAGACACGATTTTCCAGGGTTAGCCCCGGTGGGCCCCCGATGCTTAATTTACCTATGAGTCTGCAGACATGGCCACTTTCCATTCCTGTTGACCACGGATCACCATTCCTGGCCAATGGGAATTACGGAGGCAGTGTCCTGGTCCGTGCCGTGTCCCGCAGTTCCCATTGGCTGGAAATGGTGATTCACAACCAATGATGATTCACAACCAGCTGTGAGCAGCCATACCGGTGGTCATGCAAGTAAACAAAGCATCCAGTTGCACGTAAGTGGACGAACTGTGTCCGCCTCTGGAGTTGTTTATTGACCACCCTTCATGCAGATCATCTCTGATAGTTTGTCTTAACCTGTTCTTAAAAGTCTCCAATGATGGCAATTCCACAACCTCCATAGGCAATTTATTGCAGTGATTAACCACCCTGATAGGAAGTTTTTCCCAATTCCAGCCTAAACTGCACTTTCTACTATTTAAGCCCATTGTTCCTTGCCCTATCCTCAGAGGCTAAAGAGAACAATATTTGTCCTTCTTCCATGTAATTTTTTATCATGTCTTTCCTCAATCTTCTCTTCTCCAGACTAAACTAGCCCAATTTTTTTTAAGTCTTCCTTCATAAATCATGTTTTCTAGACCTTTAATCATTTTTTGTTGCTCTTCTCTGGACCTTCTCCAGTTTTTCCACTTCTTTCTTGAAATGTGGCACCCAGAACTGGACACACTACTCCAGTTGAGGCCTAATGAGCATGGAGAAGAGTGGAAGAATTACTACTTATATTTTGCTTACAACATTCCTGCTAATACATCCCAGAATGATGTTTGGGTTTTAATTAAAAGAGTGTTATCCTTATTTAATTCCATCCTATTTGCTTCAGACCATTTCTCCAGCTTGTCCAGATCATATTGAAATTTTAATCTTATCCTTCAAAGAACTTACAACCCTTCCCAGCTTCATATCATCCACACACTTTATAGGTGTTCTCTCTATGCTGTTATCTAAATCACTGATGAAGATATTAAACAGCATCAGACTCCAAACTGATTCTTGCAGGACCCCATTTGGATGCCATTAACTGATGTCTTGCTGAGTTCAAGCGCCTTGCTCTGCCATCCACCCATCCTTTGAGAATAATTTTCAGAAATCTGATTAGTGCATATTCTTCAAAGACTTATGAAAAATAACAAACCCATAACATTTAAATGTTACCCACTGTACTTCTGTCATGTTTTGCCAATTGTATATTATACCTTGGCATCTGCAGAGCTGCTAAAACCAGAACATCCAGCAGCTCCTAGCCAGACTTTCCCCCCCGATTCAGATAATTCAAACTCCAGCTATACAAGTATTTTCATTGTGAGCGCCTCAGTTGAAAAGTTAACAATAAGGGTGCAACAACAATGAATTTCTTCTCCTCTGAAAAGACTTAAAATAAATAGGAGAAGACAAAATCCAAAACTTGGCTGGAAAGCCTACATTCCTTCCACATTAGAACAGAGAAGCAAAGATTTACTTCCCTCCTGTAACGTTTTTGTACGAGGCCACATTCAAGTCATGTTGGCATATGGAAGGCTGGCAAGATTGATAAGCACAACACAGGGATAACGGGGAAAATATGTTTATCTGAAATGTAAATTTGTGAGGGAGGGAAGGGGAGAAAAGATCTTTTTTTCTCATTATTTTGCTTTCTGTTAATGAAGAGATACAGTGAAATTCTCTGCTGAGTAAAGAAATGCCGAAAGAAGGCCTATGAAGTCTTATTGACTGTCGTAGAAAAATAAATAATTTGAGATGTTACCATCATTCAAGTTTACTGAAAAAGTTCTGAAAGTAAAATAGACTTCATGATTCCGTAGCTTGTTTCTGGCACTGGTCAAGTTCCTTCTGATTTATTTTCCTTCTGACATTTTTTATGTCCACACAGCTACTGAGCTCCATTTCGGGGGCCAAGTTCTTCTCTGTCACAGTGGTATGACAGCAATGAAGTCAACAGTGCTGCATGAATGCAACATGAGAGAATTTGACTTGCTATATAAAGCACCAGTAACTAGGATAAATGTTCTAGATACAGTTTTATTTGCCTTTTTTAAAAATTTAAAACAACTAAAGTGATTAACATTTCAGCCTTTCTGAATGGAAACTAGATTTAAAATCTATGGTCCATCCAAATTTCACTATATTTAAAAAAGATGCTTGTGAGTCAAGGTAGGCCTCATTCTATTATGGATATTCTGGCTGAAAAAACACACTTATTACTTGGCCTTTGGCCCACTAAGAACATCTGAATTACTCCAGCCATCAGCACTTACTGGTGATCAACAAATTCTAGTGTGCTCTTCTTGGATTTGCCAAAGGAAAATATGCTGGGTAACAGGGATAAAATGGAGGCAAAATAACCAGATCTGTACATATACCTAAGGTTTTTATAATATTTTGGTCTCCTTCAAAAACTTGCTGTTTTCCTTTAGAGAATTAAATAATGTGCCCACAGTGGGCTTTGCTGGACCCACCAGCAGACCAGAGGGACAGGAGCAAAGCCGCCCAGGTGGCGGGAGTCCCGCTGCCTGGGCGGCTTTGCTCCCGGGCACACGAGCAAAGCCGCCCAGGCGGCGGCTTTGCTCGGGTGTCCCCGGTCTGCTGGGGGGGTCCAGCGGCTTTGCTGGACCCCCCCAGCAGACCAGGGAGACCAGGAGAAGCTTTTTTCGCCCGGAGGACACGGGCAGCGACCCGCCGCCCGTGAGCTCCGGGGCGAGAAAAGCCCCGTTCGTAAGTGCGGATCCGACATAAGTCGGATCCGCGTAAGTCGGGGACTGCCTGTGCTGCATTTTGCATGCCAGCTGCGGGCACACAGTCTGGCTTCCTACTGCATCTTCCAAACTCTTTTTCCATAACTGGTGCTGCTCCCTCCAAGTTCTGCATATGTCACTATACTGTAAAGTGTATCCATTCAGTCATTGATATTCTAGGCAAGTGGATCAGACAAATTGCACTTCTCAGATACTGCAGCTGTCAGGCAGAAGATGAATGGCTAAGAATTGGGATTTTCTGCTTCAGTCAGTTGAGAAAACTTGGACAAACAGATACAAAAGAGCTGGTGTAGCTGAAATGGGACTGCACCAATGTGAAGTAGGTACCTTTAAGCGTGTGTAGGTAGAGTTTACTTGGGGAATTAAAGTACAAAGTATTAGAGCACTTTATAAATTATGCTCCTTTGCGTGGTTTACCACGATTTAGATTTAGTTTATCTTACGAAGCCAGAAACTCACTATGTTGTTTTCCTCTGTCAAATATTTTTAAAGATACATTTTCTTTTTCAATGGCCAGAGAGTCCCTGAGTTATGCTGAGTTTTCCCATTTCTGAATTAAAAACATTGTGTATTTTTACTAAACTGTGCATGGGTTCCAGAACCTTTTAATTATTGGGGCCTAAATCTCAGAGTACGTCTAGACTACACGCCTCTTTCAAAAGAGAGCGTCTAGACAGGCATAGCTTTTTCGAAAGAGAATACCCAGGCAGTCTGGATGCTCTCTTTCAAAAAAGCCCTGTTTGCGTTCAAGAACGCCTTTTTTCAAAAGAGCTCTTTCGAAAAAAGGAGTTCTTCCTCATAAAATGAGAATTACTGCTGTCAAAAAAACCACTGCTTTCTTTCGATTTCATTTCGAAAGAACACGGCAGCAATCTAGACGCAGGTGAAGTTTTTTTTAAAAAAAGGCCACTTTTTTTGAAAAAAACTCTGTAGTCTAGACATAGCCACAGTGTGGTTTCAAATTTCAGTGCCAATTATTCCCAAAGTTCAAGTCACAGTTGACAGGATAACTTCTCATCACAGGTGGGCTGTACATATTGCCGTAACACACACAGTTGTTGTACCTGCACGGTGCTTGATTTTCTGCCATGCAGGCTATAAAGAAAAGTTGGAATCTGACCCTTGTTACTGATCCATAGACCATCCCCAGCCCATTTTGCTCTCTACTGACATGATCAGAGAGTCCTCTAGAATTACTCACATTTTCCTCCTTTACCTCTTGCATCAGCACTCTACTCACAGTAACTCTCTCTGTTACTGAGTTCTACCTCTTCAGCAATGTTAAGGTTTGAATTTCCTAACTTCTGTGCGTTACATTTTCAACCTGGACATTGTATTAATGGAGCTTTTTTGCATTTAATCAGTGTTTGGCTGTAAGTGGTAACTTGATCTTTAATGGCATCTCCTTACATGGAAAGAATGTTCAGGTGGATTAACTCTCATAGCACTACCATGTTTAACAGAACGAACGTGCCTTTGTGTAAAATGTCACAGTAATTCTATAATGTATTTTTATTTCACTAGAGGCAGTGTATTTTCTCAGAAACAGGAGCATTACAATGGATTAAAGTGCTTTGCAGCCATTAAATTGCTCTGGAGCCTATCTAGGCAAATCTACCATCAACTAGTGACAAGGATTACATAACACTTTTTTTTTACCATAAAATTAGTAACTATGCAAATGTGGTTGAGGTTATCGTATTTTAGAACTGAAGTCACATGTGATGAATACTTACTATACCATATCATTAAATTAATTTCCCCATGATAGTTGAACACATTTGTTATTATTATTCTGGGTTTTTCCCCCAGCAATTTTATAAATCTGCATTTAGCATATTTTGGCATGCCTAAGTTTAAAAATCTTTGTTCCAAAGCAAAAGTTTTTGTAAAAAATATATAAATCATTTTGAATTGTGTTTTCATATTTAACCTGAGTATTTTATATATAAAAGAGCATTAAGTCTGTAATTCAAATGGCTTGTGTTTTATATATTTGGTCTGCAGTAATTCACAAAGGGAAATGAGTTTTCATATTTTTCTTTTTAAATCATGTCTTCTTCAGTGATTACATGGACTGAATATGTTAACTTACATTTCCCAGACAAATGTCTGGATCTATATTACACGTTTGCCATGAACTGTATTCAATTGTATGAACTTTGTGCAAACCAGAACATGTGTTTTTTGGCCTTAAATTTAGTATGTCATTTGAAACATATTTTGACTGCATTGCAATGTGATGTCCACATGTCTTTGTACTCAGCCACCTTGCAATGTCTAATTTGTTGCTATTGTCAGCAAGATTCATGCTGATCTTAGTTCATCCATTTTGAAATTTAATAAAAATGGAGAGGAAAAATAATGGGACTAGCTCTCAGAAAGTACAAAGGGAAAGGCAAAACATCTTTCATCCAGAGATTTTTCTTTTAAGGGAATAAGGGAAAAGTCATGTTGTAAATGTCTGTATTTGACATTTTTCCTGTAATGTTAAGGCTTAAAATGCACTGAAAATGAAATGCGGCTTACAGTGCTTCCACTTATCTTACATAACACATACTAACTTGGGAAATGGAAATGTCAAAATTAGACAAAACATACCAAATTCTGCCCTTTCTTACACCTGTTCAGCCCCAGTGGGTGCATGTTGATTTCCACAAGCTGAAATTCTATCCTGTCCTTCCACTGAATGCTGGCACAATATACCTCTGAGAGCTGTTACTAGAAAAGCAAAGGCAATACCCTCAGAACTATAGCATTGGGAGCAACTTATCTGGACTATTCCAAACACGCTAGCATCATTTTGAAGTGATGGCTTCTGTTGCATTGTTACTAAATTGACCAGATCAGGACTGTGAAGGGAACTGGTGACTCATGGTTCCCTTATTATTATTATTGCTATATTCAGCAATTTTTAAAAATAATTTTTGTATTGGGATTTCATATTTTCATTGTACTTTTCAGGCTTAAATAGCAAAGATTTTTTTAATGTGTTTCCTCTTTCTTTTTTTTTCTCTTTCTTTCACTGTAAAGACCTACTTGGCAAGTGGAAGACAAAATGGATGCTAATAATGTGGCTTACACATCTGGGAAGCTAAGTTTTCACACTGATTACCCTGTTCTTCAGCATCCACCTGGGGTAAGGAGATCCTTCTGACTTTTCCACAAAGCAAGGGGGGAAATTTCATTGTTCCTACAGTTTGAAAAAAACCAAACAGGTAATATGTTTGCTGAGCAAAACATTCTGTATATGTGAAATTGATTTATTTCTTCTTTTAAAAAAAAAAGTTAATCAATCCACAGGAAGAATTATTAATATCTAGTCAAATTTCCCATATAACAGGCCATAGAATTTCACACCCAGTAATTCCTACAGTCAG